AAAAAAAAAAAAATTCTTAGGCTCATTTTTGCATTGCAGGTCTGAAAATTAAAAAAAAAAAAATAAAAAAAATCTATCTTACCTTTCATCGAGCGTTTTGGAAAAGTACCTTAACCCCTTCCGCAGATATCTGCCATATTGTTTCTTGTAAGCCTGTCGGCTACAGTTTTAAGAAGTGAAAGAAATGAACTCAAATGAGTTCAGCCAATGTAGACCCGCCTGTATTATGACATTTTGGAAGAAGGTAAAACAAATGCCTCAACTGCAAGGAAAGCCATGATGAGAGAGTTGACACCTTTCTAGCCCCAGGGAAATCCAACTGTGGGATGAAAAGCTACAGGATTTACAGGTTTCGTTGTTATCAAAATAAAGTCATTCTGAACTGATGACTCACCAAAATCTTCTTGTACTTTTAGATGCTAAATTCAACGACTCTGGTGGATTCCTGTGCTCCACCGTTTGCTTTAAGGTACAGATAAAAAGGCATGCACCCAAATAGTAGTGCTTCCAGTAATAATGAGAACTGGTTGACCAGTTCACCTCTAAAGACCAAAGAAAGGATCAAGGAGAAAACTCAAGGCGTAAATAAAATATTCAAAGCAAAGTAAACTGGAAAAAAAAAAAAAAAAGTAAAGGAGTTCTTACCCTGGAACAGAAAGCAAAATGCTTTGAACAATAATGAAGGGAAGGGGGGTTTCTGCTCACAATCAACCAGACTGGGACGTTTTGGAGCTAGGTGTGTTGTGGTTTGGTATTAGAGTAGCTCACTTGGCAATGGGTGATAACAAAGCTCCAAAGAGACACTGAGAGTTGATGGAAGCAGTTCAAACATCTTTGTGATCAACACAAAGGGAAAGCTGGAATCGCATCCTGGATAGGTGTGACCTTTACTTAGCAGATTCTTGCATTGATTCCTTCAATAAATGCTGAATTACACGAGGGAAGGACAATCTTCTTAAAATCATAATTCTGCAATGAAACGATAAAGAGGGCAAGGTTATCGGTGCGAGAAACCAGGAGGGCAGAGCCGCTGCTGAAACGTGGGGGAGTGCTGAGTCACTCAGCATTAAGTGCTGCCATAGTAACTGTTTACCAGCTGGTTCAGAAGGAGGAGAGACTGAAAAACCTGAAATAATAAGCTGACAAGTTGCAGTTTGAAATGTATTACATATATTTTTAAAAGATTTAACAGACTGGAATGCTTCCTAAGGTTTTCTATTAGTGTTGCTTGGCGTAAACAGATTACATTGGCCCATTGAAGAGACACATAAAAGTATTCAAGCAAGAAATAAGAAACTGGTATTTCTTCTCTGCTAGACTAATGTTATAGCACTTAATTGTGAGAACCAGTAGGAGCCACTTTGGATCTGTTTATTCCCAGGGATGTGTTATAGCGCATATTGATGTGGAGTGGAGGGTTTATTCAGGTGGTAACAGGTTTTGGGGTGACTTGGGAAGCTTAGAGTGTAGAGAGGGGTATAAGCTCAGATTCCTTGGCCAGTCTTTTCTGACGTTGTCCTCTGCTCTGGCTGTTAGATCACTGTAGGCCTGTGGCTTAAATTCCTTGCTGGCCTAAGATACATCCTCTGCAGGAGAGACAGCTCTGTGGTTTGTAGCGATTTGGGGCACTTCTGTGACTCATAAGATTCTGAGTGGTTTCTTGCTGTGGAAAATTTCAGCATCACCACGACAGGTGTCTGTCACCGTGACACTTCCGAAGACACAGTCTCCATTACTATCATCCCAGGTGATGGACAGTAAGTGAGAGCACTAAATCTGGCTGCTGTTGGGGGGGGAACAGCTTCAGAAATGGAGTAGCTGGGCCTTTTGATCACCCCGTGGGCCCTAGTGTATAGAGAAGCAGAAAGCTATCGAAGGTTTCAAAGTCCAGAATCAAAAAAATGAGACCTCGCAGAGCAGCAGGAAGCTTGTGGTGAAACCCAGGAAGTCTCTTGTCTTTTTTTAAATCTGCATAGAGATTGGAGGAGCTGCTGCAGGAGGGGAGGTCAGGAAAGCTGCTCTTTGCAGAGCGCAGGCAGATGCCTCGTGGCTCCCCAGAGCAAGGGTGTGGAGGTCCCGGTAGTATTTGTTGTGTCAATGACCTTCACTCCTCCTAGGTTAGATGGAGGAAAGGTGGTTTTAGGACACTTTGTGTAAATCTGTTTGCTGTAAACCTGTTTTGTGGAGTTTGGGGACCTGCTGCGCTTCAACCAGTCTCTACTGGTCCCTCAGCTTCCCTAAGGAAGTTTTATTTAAAAAAGGTCCATCTCCTGGAAGATCAAGAGATCCCACATCACTAAGACAACTTAATTTTTCCTATCCGTGAGCTTCAGTATTGTCGATTCTAGCTAACAGAGGTTTTCAGAGCCTGGAGACAGGGCTCAGCACAGGACACTGGTGGCTCAGGGAGCAGCCTGGGCTTGCTTAGACACAGGGACTGCAGAAGGCAAGACACGTTTAACAGCCTTCCAACGTGAGATTCGCTGCATGAAGGAAGGTGAAAAGAGGGTTAGAAACTGTTCTTCATTTTCAAGAAAAAGTTATAGGAATAGGCTGGACAAAAGCTCTTGAGTAAAAGAGATTGTGCAGTATTTAATCTATAATCTATTTCATGTGAGTACTCAAGTGCTTTACTCGAGTAAAATAGATTGCAGTAGATGTGATTTTTGCCAAGTCCTGTTTCGTGGCTGTCTTGTTTGATTTTATGACACTGGATGTAGCTGAAGTAGCAATTGCTGTGAGAACTGTAGTCTGACCAGGTACAGTCTTTGGTTCCCAGGTCGCTCGTCAGCGTGTTTGATGAGGTTTTCTGCTTGGAGACCATGGATTTTGGAAGCCCAACAGCCTTTGAGTGAACTGGATGTGGCAATTTTCTAACAGCTTTCAGGAGTGACACTAACACAAGTGACATCAGTTTTAGTCAGCTGCTGGTCCTCTGTATACAGGAAATTTTTTTAAAAGTCCTTTTTCATAGTGAATCAAAAGGAAACCACATTGTGAAAAAAATAGCGTTTGCCATGAACTGGAAATTCTTTGTTTACATCAACTTTATTCTCACCTTTTAGACAATCAAAGGCCTTTATTTTCAAAGGAAATACTTGTCCTGGACAGCTGTCAGCATGCTGAAACTCGTAGGAATTCCTGGCAGAGGCAGGGGATCGTTCTGGTGTACCGTGGTCCATCCTCACGAAGAGTTAAACAGCCGCATGTCACAGATCTGAGCAAGCGGCTCTGCCTGCCTTGCAGATCTGCCATGTTAGTCACTCAAAAGGCTGGGGGGGGGAAAAAACCCCCAACACATCAAACAGTGTGTCTTCTCCCTCTCGCCACTCCTGCCCAGTTTACCCCCTTGGCACTAATTGCCGGGGGGTGGCAGATGTGGGCTCAGCACTGGTGCAGCCCTTTTTCTGCAGAACCCTTGTACTGGGAGGCTTGGCGATTCTTTTTTACATTTTTTTTTTTTTTTTTTACACGTCAGTCCATTTACACTTTCAGTCCATCTTTCTCATCCATAGCATTTCCCTGTTCATTTTATCCACTGCATCTTCTCTGCTCATCATTGGTAGAAGATTCTGGCAGCACGGCCTGCATGTGGCTCCCTCCTCTTGTGCTGGCATGTGATGGTGGCACCGTTGTGTTCTCTTCCTTTCCCTTTTTACTAACAGACGCAGACCAAACTGGAGCATGCCCGCATTAAGGAGCTTGAACAGAGCCTACTCTTTGAAAAGACCAAAGCTGACAAACTCCAGAGGGAGTTAGAAGACACTAGGGTAATGGTTTTCACTATTTAAATAACAAGACTGATTTGTGTTGTGGAAGATTTCTGATGACACAGTCTGCTGGGTATAACACGTGCTGAAACAGATCCTTGC